CCAGCCTTCTCTCTCTCTCTCGGTGTGTTAGAATGATGTAACTCACACTAGTGTTAAAACACAAAGTTCCCTCTCTCTCTCTCTCCAGGTCAGTCAGATGTGTCCATGGCAGAGAGCATCATGTCTCCAGATGAGATTGAAGTGGAGATGGCTCGCATCCAGCGTCTCAGGGAGGTGCTGGTGAGGAGGGAGTCTGAACTGCGCTTTATGTGAGTACTGTACAGAGACCATCAACACCACGATAAAATAATTACAAACTGCGGCTTTAATGCGAAGACGTGTTGGATTTTAATCATATAGAAGCTATTTGGAATAGATAGAACTTCCATTTTCTTCCAAGAGTGGGTCAATGTATTATGGACAGTAAAGAGAGCATGTAGACTTTTGGGCCCCTTAAAAAGAATGACACCCATACAGATAAGCCTAATAAGTTTATACTGTATATCCTGATGATAATGATATTACCCTGATGTAGTTGTAATAAAGCCTTATTTCTGACACTGTGAAGAATTAGTTAACTAGATTGTGTTTCTGCTTTAGCATGGAGCAGGCTGGCAATGACATCTATGCTATTACAGTGCCGTCAGAAAGTATTCACACCCCTTGACTCTTTCCACATTTTGTTGTGTTACAGCCTGAATTTAAAATATAGTAAATTTTGATTTTTTTGTCAATCGCCTGCACACAATACCCCCATAATGTCAAATTAAGAAAAAGTGAAAAGCTAAAATGTGTCAATGAGTATTCAGGCCCTTTGTTATGCCAAGCCTGCATACGTTCAGCAGTAAAACAAGTCACATAATAAGTTGCATGGACTCACTCTGTGTGCAATAATAGTGTTTAACATGATTTTTGAATGACTACCTCATCTCTGTACCCCACACATACAATTATCTGTAAGGTCCCTCAGTCGAGCAGTTGAATTTCAAACACAGATTCAACCATAAAGACCAGGGAGGTTTTCAAATGCCTCGCAAAGAATGGCACCTATTGGTAGATGGGTAAAAAATAAAAAAGCAGACATTAAATATCCCTTTGAGCATGGTGAAATTATTAATTACACGTTGGATGGTGTATCAATACACCAAGTGCAGAGATGCCAGGATGGGGGATGATGTGAGGGTGTTTCCGCACTCTCATCAGGATCCTGGCAGCGTTGTTCTGGATGTAGTGGAGCTTCTGGAGACTCCTGCCAGGGATCCTGATGAAGAGTGTGTTGCAGTAGTCCAGCCTTGAGGAGATAATGACATGGACGAGCTTCCCTGCGTCAGACTGAGCGAGAGTGGGGCGGAGTTTGGCAATGTTCTTGAGGTGATAGAATGACGCTTTACACAGTCGTTTGATGTGGCTGTCAAAGGTCAGGGAGCTTTACACACGGATTGGAAACCGAGGGGGAGAGAGGAGTGTTCTGTCCTGCAATGGTGAGGTGTGTTATTGGTGAGTGCTGGACCTGGAAGTAGGGCCTCAGTTTCGATGCTGTTCAGTTGAAGGAAGTTTTGCTTCATTCATGCCCTTATCTCCTCACGGCAGGTGTTCAGATGGGCACATGCATCAGAGGGACATGGGGAAGCTTTTACATACAGCTGGGTGTCATCAGCATAGCAGTGCAATGAGATTCCATGCCGGCTGATGACACGACCGAGGGGGAGCATGTACAAGACAAACAGGATGGGTCCAAGAACAGATCCTTGTGGGACACTGAAAAACTCATACTCAGTCTTGTCTGAGAGGTAGGAGTGGAACCAGCTCAGAGCTGATCCAGACAGTCCGATGGTGTCCCGGAGGCGTTCCAGGAGGATGGGGTGGTCGACAGTGTGAAACACTGCTCTCATGTACAGAAGGATCAGGAGACAGGGGGAGTCTGCATCAGCAGCCATCAGCAGGTCGTTGGTGACCTTATTGGTCTTATCATGGGGTCAGGTGACCAGGTGATCAGAAGTTGATGCTTGATATTCAGGGAATCTTGGTCCATCATATTGTGTCGCTATTAAGTTCTAAACATTGAGAAAATATACAGTGAGATATTTTTTTGTGTGATGGCAAATACACAATCAATAGAAACTGGAAAGAGATCGGTGGGATGTGTGGCTTCATTAGCTTAGATGGCTTCATCAGTGAACAGTGACACCAATACCTCCAGCTATGTGTGACTCAGACACACACACACACACACAGTCTGTAGCAGATGGAATGGCAGAGTGCAAAGCCTGCTGGAAGCACCGTTGGGGTCTAGTGAGTGGGACAACAACACAAGGCAAATAGGGGATAGTGAGGAGGAGAGAAAAAGATGTTGAGGTTGAGAGACAGGAACAAGTGAGTGGGTGAAAATTACAGGGACAGGGTGTCGAAAGAGCAGAGGGAGAAGAGGATGAAGAAGAGGAACAGGGGAGACAGAGGGAACTAGAGGAGGAGGAGGAGAGAGATGAAGGGAGGTGGGGATGATAGCAGGGAGAGGGATGGAGGAAGAGGAAGAGGAGAGGGAGATGAAGAAGAGGGACAGGGAGAGAGCAGAGGAGGCAGAGGGGGAGAGAAACAGGGAGAGGGGGAGGAGAGAGAGATGGAGGGAGGGAGGGAGGGAGGGAGGGAGGGAGGGAGGGAGGGAGGGAGAGGGAGCTGAGGAACAGGAGAGAAAGAGGGGGAGGAGAGAGATGGAGGGAGGAGGTGGGGAGAGGTGTTGGGAGCCGGTGGATGAGTTCATCAGTCTGGATTTACAGCAGAGAGACTTAAATCCTGGTAGCTGTCACAGGCTGGACAGAGAGAGTGAGAGGAGGGATGGATGGAGGGAGAGGGGGGGAGGAGAGGAGGAGAGAGATGAATGGGAGGGGGCGGGCGTGATGGTTCCATGTTTCATGAGCTGGAGAAAAAATAAACAGAAATGTTCCATACGCACAAAAAGCTTATTTCTCAAATGTTGTGCATCATTGTTTACATCCTGTTAGTGAGCATTCTCCTTGCCAAGATAATCCATCCCCGACAGTGTGACAATCAAGAAGCTGATTAAACAGCATGATCATTACACAGGTGCACCTTGTGCTGTGGACAATAAAAGGCCACTTTAAAATGTGCAGTTGTTTCACACAACACAATGCCACAGATGTCTCAAGTTGTGAGGGGGCGTGCAATTGGCATGCTGACTGCAAGAATGTCCATCAGAGCTGTTGCCAGATAATTTAATGTTAATTTCTCTATCATAAGCCGCCTCCAACGTAGTTTTAGAGAATTTGGCAGTACGTCCAACCGGCCTCACAACCGCAGACCACGTGTAACCACGCCAGCCCAGGACCTCCACATCCGGCTTCTTCACCTGCAGGATCGTCTGAGGAGGGGTGAGGGTGCTGATGAGTATTTATGTCTGTAATAAAGCTATTTTGTGGGGGAAAACTAATTCTGATTCGCTGGGTCTGGCTCCCCAGTGGGTGGGCCTATGCCCAACCATGGCTGCACCCCTGCCCAGTCATGTGAAATCCATTGATTAGGGCCTAATGAATTTCTTTCAATTGACTGATTTCCTTATATGAACTGTAACTCAGTAAAATCTTTGAAATTGTTGCATGTTGCGTTTATATTTTTGCTCTGTATATTTTATTGATCATAGTGATTCAGGACTATCATTAAAACAGGTTAATTTGCCCCACCAACATTGGACAACTATACAGAAAGCCATTAAATTGCTGAAATAAGTAAATAAAATCAATGAGAGAATAGTCAGATTAATTACTGATACCTTACACAGACATGTTGGCGTAACATGAATATCAGAATATCATGAACCGAGAGGTTGTGAGTCCAAATCCCAGGTGAGGTCATGTTGAATAATAATTACTGATTAATTGAACAAGCACAATGTAATCATGTATGTCAAAGTGTGTCAAATATGTAAATTGAAAACACTGTGTCTTAAAAGCACTGTGTGTGTGAGTATCCCTAACCTTGCCAACAGACAAAGAGCTGTGAATGGATCAATGGTTCACCTATCAGGGCCTTGATTGGCTTGGCAACAGTAACATGATGTGTAATGATTTTTTTGGGGGGGACACAAACGTTTTGGACACATTCCCATGAAACATATATTATGTTCTGAGAACATGGCAACTATATTCTGTGTAGGTTTGGTGGGACATTGATGGAATATTATTTTAACCCTCCCAAAACTGGACAAATTAATTTTCTTGAAACGCTCCCATAAAACATGTCTATGACATTAATATCTTATATTCTGAGAACATGGCAACCATGTTCTGTGTATGTTTGGTAGGACGTTAATGGAATATTCTCCTAACCCACAGAAAACTGGACACATTGATGTTCTTGCAACGTTCGCATGAAACGTGTCTAGAACATTAATACCTTCAGTTCTGAGAACATGGTTACCCGTTCTGGGTAAGTTCTATTTTACATTAAGGGAATGGTCTCTTGGAAAAATTCCTTGCACATCACGGGAACATTCCTATGAAAACGTTAGTTAATGACCTAATGAGACTCTTAAGGGAACGTTCTCTAAAGTTGTGGGAACGTTTGTTGTTAGCTGGGATTCAAGTGAAATTTCCCACTGGGAACTAGGCTTTCTGATAACTCCGATTGCACGTGAAAGCGGCAATCCCTCAAAAAGACAAATTGGTGCAATAAAATACCAGGTCAACTGTGCAGGAGGCCTAAAGGCTAGACATTCAATATGTACTCAACTGTCAAAGGAAGTAACAAAAAATGTCCAAGAAAGGTAGCCTCCCTCGAAAATATGTAATTTGTGTGCGTAGTTTTGTGGGCAAAAACCACAAATTGCTGTGCGTAATTTGTTGGGAAAATCCAGAATTATAATCCGAATAAATATAATTAATTTGAACGTGCCTGGATTTTGCTGAATGCTAAAAACTGTCCCATCTTTGCCAATTTCTGCACCTTGAACGGAGCCTCCCAGACTAAAAGAGACTTGGCTCACTGCCCACATTACTTGTGCAAGTTGTGACATCTTCGAGTCCAAGTGTCAACATTTATTTATTAAATTAGTCCCGCTTGAAGCCACAGTCCTTACCTGATGTGTCCCACATGTTCAGCTCAATCCTCTGTTTCTCGATCTCGAAACTGGCCGTGTAGTTCTCGAAGACAGTAGGGACATAATTCTGAAAAGAAACATTTCAAATGGCACAATGAAAACCTATATCTGCCCAATGATTCAAAATGAGACCATGTTCCATTCCTACTCATCTCGGCGGATAAAGTCTGGTCTAGACCTATTCCTCTATCACATATCACATGTAGGCTATGTGCATATGGCATGCACCAGATGAATTCTGAGCCAATTCTAAAACACACATGACCAGCTAGAATGTATAGGGCTAAGGCAAAATTTGTGTCATTAATTAAAAAGATGTGCCATAGATTGAGGCTATTGATCCTAGGCTATAGACAGGATCTCAAGCCTAAAAACTTTAGAATCCTTTAATTGTTATAACATCATTTATGGAGAAGGCTGATGCGCGCATGGCGCGTAGGCTACACAAATATTTTTTTAAATTAAAATAATGACTTATTTATTACAATCGTACAAACTTCGTAATACAACCGCCATAACTCACCTCTGGGTACGAGTCTTTGGCGAAGACATGAAGTAATGCCGTTTTGCCACATCGCGTGTCGCCGACCACCACGATTTTACAGCGGCTGCCCTTGCTCTCCATAGTGCGGTCTATGTGGTTATGATACGTCGCCTCCTTTTCATTTAGCTACACTCCAGAATAGTCCCAAAGTCAAAGTGTAGAAAGCAGATACCGGTGAGGTGAGATTTTCCTCCCTGTTTTCAGTTGTATTCCTCCGTGTGTATGCCTTCCGGAAGCTTTGACTGTCAGACTCAGAACTTGAATAACTCTTTAGCGCGGCTGCATAACCTACTCCACAATGTGCCTGCTTGCCACGGCTGGATGCTGACAGAGTGTGAGTTTGTGTTTTCACATTCCTCTTTAGATCCGCCCATCAGCCACTAACACCCAATGAGAAGGACTGAGGAGCTAATGTTTATTTGCATGCCAACTGTTTGGGATTATGTCATAATCATCCATCAACAACACCTTCGATCAAATCTGTAGAATAGTTTTTTCCCCCCTGTTTGTGAAATAAATCCCCCTTTTACAAGAACACATACCCCTATGCTATCTCTCGCTCTCTCTCTCAGACACACACACTCTCTTTCTCAGACACACACACTTATCTCTCTCACCTCTCTCTCTCATACTGTAATCTCCTGGCGATTTCTCTTTTTAAGAGTTGACTAAACCTTACCGTACTTGGCAGTAGTGGTTGGTGCTCGTTGTGGTTAACACAAATGCCATGCCGTGAAAAAGGAGTGGCATACTGAATCCAGTAGAGGTTTAGTATTCTGTGATTATAAAATTAATATCTACACAATTATCTTCATCAGTGCTCCCTTCATGACACCTCTGGTCTACAGGGCAATCTCTCCAAACATCTGCAGAGATTTAGTTCCGTGTTCTGAGATCATGGTCAGACGCAACACGTCTGCACTGGTCTTGCATTGATACAATGACCAGGTTTCTATCGCCATCTTCTGGTGAGAGAGGGCATACAAGAATATTGAGCGTCCAACTCAAATCCTACTTTGTATTATATTATATAGACAAGTTTACGCGCTGTATCCCGGGTGGCGCCATAACTCTACACAAATGCATTTCATTTCCGCCGGAAGTTGTTTGCACAACGTCTGCCGGTGTAAACACAGCGATGTCGACGCTAGTTTGGGAACACGGTTCTACTACTTTGACAGCGAGCACAGCTAGAAAGGTGCCCATTCGCTCAACCACGGCGCCTGACAAGTTTTTGTCAGAACACTTACACCCATCCTTCCATGGCAATGCCGCAACCCGTCAAGGAGCGGATGGGGAGGAACTTGCAAGGGACTATTTGGAAACTCTGGGCAACAGCATTGAAACCAAAGGCTTAGTGGTGTGCGAAAAGGAACCGTGGCTTGCAGCATCTCCCGATGGAGTGATAAACAACGACATTCTGTTGGAGATCAAATCACCTGTGATGGGAAACAAGTCACTTGCAGAATTTTTGGCAACAAATAACTGCGAAATCACAACTGTGGCAAACGGAGATAGATTACCATATTGCCTGCAATGGTCCAAAAGGCTACTACATGCAGGTACAAATTGGGATGCACTGCACAGGGCTTCAGCACTCCAAGTTGGTGATCTGGAACAAAACTGAGCACCTAGAAATCGGAAGTACCCTACGACCAAGGCTTTGTCCAGGGGCATATCATAAGGCTGCGCACATTCTACTTTGCCCACATGCTCCCGAAAATTGTTGATGATTTTGTTGAGGGAAGGTTACAGTTCTGCAGTACATATCTCAGCATTTTAAAACCAAAATAAACGGCCTTATTTAGGTCATGCCCACAGGAGCCAACAGATGTCCATTGTTTACATGATCTCTTTATGCTGTGCAATATATCAGTGTGCCTACTGTTTGAGTGAAAATAAAGTTTGATGTAATTTCAATCCTTAGAGTGCTACAATTTATTTTAACACGGTTCATAATTCATAGTAAGCTCATACTGTACATAAATAACACTGGATTAATTAATTGTTTTGAGGAAACTAAACAAATGGCTTCAACAAGAAAGATTGCGTGTTTAATCTTAACAGGTATTAAAAAGTAAAATACAAAAGCAGCCCACACAATTACATCACTATGAAAATATTCATATATAATATTAAAAAATACAATGCATGCAGTATTTGTTGTGTTTATCTGTATTTAATGAACAACATGGCTGGGTGTTGGTAGACAGGGACACAGGGCAAGATTCTAAACCTCACTGATCAGTGGACTCTTCAGGTTAACTAGGCCAGCACAGATGGTTAAGATGTTGTCCAGTTTCGGGGCCATGCTGATGGGAACATTCTGGGATAAAATCTTAAACACCTTCAGTCTCTGGATTGCTCTTTCCACATGTATGCGGACATTGGCTACTCGCCTGGTGCGTGTCGTCTCCTCATTGGTCAACTGATTGCGCCTGTAGGTGAAAGCAGGGATGTTCAAACTGACCCTTCTCTCATCAAGCAAGTCTCGAATGGTGAACCCACGGTCCGCCATGACCTCATCACCAGCCCTCAGATAGTCTAGGAACCCACTGTCCATGGTGATAAACTTATCGCTGCTTCTGCTAGCATAGGCATCAGATATAAACATGATTAGCCCATTAGGGGCCACAGCGACGAGATATTTCACAGTGTTGCGTGATTTATACTGGCTGAAAGTGTCACTCCTTGAGTCGTGGTTTGTGGCTCTCTGCATGGCACTTTCGGCACAGTCAATGATGCAGGTGGTTCGAGGGTAGTTCCTCTGAAACTACAAGGGCATGGTGGCACGAATGGTCTCTCTTGGAAGCCAGGGGATCAGGACTTTGAACTGTTCACCCATCACGTCAATCCAGTGACTAATCACAATGCTTGCCATGGATGTAGACACATTGAAGCGGTGAGCAATATCTCCTAATATTAGGTTTAGTTTTAGTTTCATCAACGTCATAATTATTTGGTCAACAACAGGAAGGGTAATTGATGGCTTACTGAAAGGCAACAACACCGTCACCAGGGTGAAGAATTGAACCATAAGCACTCCTGTATACAGCCGGGACCTAGCATCATCAATGACCGTGGTGCTGGTCACAGTAGGACCCATTTCTGCCTCGCACTGTGTGGCCTTGTCTACTTTAACAGACTGTGTTGTTGAACAGTAAATGTGATCAATATGTGACGGATCCTCCCATTGGGTCTGGGCATCTCGAAATTTTGGTGTAGCAGGCTCGGCCTCACAGACAGGCTGACAGGTTTCTGGAGCATCTAAAAAGGGGAAGAGAAAACATGGATGCAGCAAAATTAATGCAGGCATAGAGTCCTCTCACTACAAACATCACAATGGAAAAATGTGTACTACAACATTGCACTCACACGCACACACACAATCATCATCACAACAGCCTGCCACCTTGCATTGTATTTATGATGTAGACTAAGGCACACGCAGGCAGGCACACACAAACACACAATTAATGATGTAGCTATCGTGGGCATTGTTTGTCCCATCTCCAAAACAATCAACTGCCTTAGCAAAATACCGGTAGCAATGTTAATGTATGACAACTTCTTCATAATTAACAGTATTGTCAGCTTCATAGCTAAAGTTGCTGAACTTACCCTCAGATTCAAGTCTGCGTTTCTTTATCTGGGGGGAGGCAGTGGTCCGCTGGGTGAGTTGACGCCTCTTTGGCTGGGGAGGGCGATTGTATCCCAACCACAACTCTGGGAAAGGATTATCCTTGGTAGGTTTTTGGTCAACAAAGTGATAGGAACAAACAAAAACGTTGAGGGGTGGTTTCTTTAGATTCAATGCCTTCAGCCAGGTCCTTGATTCCGAGTCGGTATCAGGCTTGCGAAAAAATGTAAACAATGGAGCGCATGGACATTGCCTCTTCGTAGCTGGTTTGTGGTCGTAGCACTCTCTATCTAACCACTCGTTCAGGTGCTTTCTCGAGTTTTTGCAACCAACTACCGCACACGTCGTTCCCGAACCACTTTTCTTCATGTTGTAATTGTAATTTTTATATCCTCTTTGTCACTGCGATATCAGTGCTTTGTCGGCACAACGGAGCTAGCTAGCAAAACAAACCCAGCCCGGCAGAACGGAAGTGGATTGCATCGACGGGAGGGGTTCAGGAAGTAGAGCGGAAACGGCTCAAAAACTTGTCTATATGCCATTTAGCAGACGGTTTCATCCAAAGCGATTTACAGTAGTACGTGCATACATTTTCATATGGGCCTATTACAGAACAAGCCTGGACTGTCAGACTTGGACTGTCAGACTTGGGTCCCACATTGTAGCTTACACCATAGAGGCCAGGACATACATGAGTAAAATGTGTTTTGAGAAAAGGGATAAGAATACTTTCCATCTCGTGTAGACAGACATTGTAATATCACACTCGAGGAGAGGCGATAAGCTACATGGAGCTATTTTCTTCCAAAGGCCATTCTTTCCATTGACTTGTTGGTGCGCATCCTGCACAAAGAGAATGCCATGACATCCATTCAGCTGCAGGTGGCAGCACAAGACAATGCACAAAGCAATGTACACAATATTCACTACATGTATTCATCACTCCAGAGAACTCATTTCCAATGGCGGCGAGCTTTACAGCACTCCAGCCAACGCTTGGCATGGTGATCTTAGGCTTGTGTGCGGCTGCTCGGCCATGGAAACCCATTTCATGAAGCTCCAGAGGAACAGTTCTTGTTCTGATGTTGCTTCCAGAGGCAGTTTGGAACTCGGTAGTGAGTGTTGCAACCGAGGACAATTTCTGCGCTTCAGCACTCAGCGGTCGTGTTCTGTGAGCTTGTGTGGCCTACCACTTCACTGCTGAGCCTTTGTTGCCCCTAGACATTTCCACTTCACAATTACAGCACTTACAGTTGACCGGGGCAGCTCTAGCAGGGCAGAAATTTGCCGAACTGACTTGTTGGTAAGGTGGCATCCTATGACGGTGCCACGTTGAAAGTCGCTGAGCTGTTCAGTAAGGCCATTCTACTGTCAATGTTTGTCTATGGAGATTGCATGGCTGTGTGCTCGATTTTATACACCTGTCAGCAACGGGTGTGGCTGAAATAGCCGAAGCCACGACTTTGAAGGGGTGTCCACATACTTCTTTATATATAGTGTATGTTGTCGTCAATAAATAAATTCAATAAATCCGATTTTATTTGCTAAAGTGCCAAACATCTGCATTCTGACATGTCACTCGTCATATTTTTCAGACATCTAGGAATATTTTTACCCACAGGCGGTGGACACGGAGCTACAGCAGCACGCGGTGATTAACCTCTCCAAAAAAGAGCTCACTGACGCACAAGTCTCAGTCTTATCTATGGGCCTCTCTTTTGTACCTATATGTACAGACAAACCCTTTGATACGAAAGTAGATCTGTTTAAATTATTTCACAAAATTAAACTTAAACATGTGTTTTCCCAAAATACTGTTTCTGGCTTAGAAACCCAACAAAGAACTGTTACTCAATTTAAGCCCAAAAGCAAGTTTAATAATAAAGATAAGTGATACTAGCAAGAGCAGTGTGAGGTTTTCTTATTTCTTCTCACATGTTATTCAATTGTTACCATGCACCTGCAACAAAGACAGCGAGTGCCTTTTGAATTTTGACCCACTTAATCCCAAAACGTCTCCCAAGTTTTCACCATCATTGCAAACCCCTAGTTATGTTCTTGCTTTGACAAAGTCATTTCTGAAGATTATTGTTTATTTCGTGTGATTAATGATTAATTTATGTCTGTCCCTCATTTTAAGGTCAACCCTATTATGTGAACTGAACTCTCGTTTTAATATGGTGAAACTATTCCTTTTTAAAATATATTTTCAAAATGAACATTGAACATATAATAGTCAACCCATAGTGTAAAAGCAGGTGAGCTGGTTCAACTCTTTTTGGCAATGTTCTGGTGTTTTGTGGTGGATTTTTTGCCCCTCAATCAGACCCCTACAAACCAGAGGAGATGGAAGTGAAAGATGGCAGCTCTCTATTAACTCAGGCATTTCCTGCCATGCCCCCTTGGCCACATCTTTATCACCCATATAGTGACTTCCTGTTTCACAGACTGGGACAACACAACAACTTTCATGACTGCCTTTGGCAGTTTTAGGACCCCTCAACTACGGGTTTCATTATGTCAATGGCTCCACACTGGTTCTAATTGTCTTTTTACACAATGTCATTGAAAATGTGCCTGTTTCTGCAGTAGGCCTCTTGTTGTTTCCAGAGAACCGAATGTCTTGAGATCAATAATAGATTGCAAAAGTAGACCAAAATGTTTAAGCTTGTTGAAAATTGGTCTTCTTGTTCTATCTCTAGGCTATATTTTGGTCATCATCCTTTCTATATCACTGTTGACATAGGCCTGTGAGCCCCATGCACATTGATGGCAACGCCACCTGTTGCTAAGCGAGCTCCGACGACCTCTTTCTTTCGCTCCCCTCCTCTGACAAAAAATCCACTTTCCGGCATTTAACAGTGGCCACATCCCGTCTGACTGCGCACTGCTCTCCATTGCGAAGTAGAGGTCTGTCACTTTCCTGGCTAGGGTGTACGCACGAAAATCACCTCCTGGTTTAACCTGTTGTAATAGGCTATCTATATTTTTACAGTGGAATTGTGCACTGCAATAGGCTAGTTTACGAAAAATATATAATTGTACTGCAACTTCTTCTGTAAGGTATTTTTTTAGGTTATCAGGTAAACCTTAGAAACAGAACTATAAAAAAAAGAAAAGCGCATTGAGAAAAATAGGCTATTTTCGTGATCCCGATCATGTCTGGCGAAGAGGCACCGGTACAACAGCAGCAAGAACCCACAGAGGAGAAGACAGAGAACCCACCTACTGAGGAACCTCCATCGGAGGCAGCCCAAGAGGGTGAGCCATCCCCCGCGGAAGAGCCAGTAGACGAGCCTGCGGCGGCGACCCCGGACAAAGCGCCTGTGGCTCCCGAGGAGGAAGTTTTCACCTATCGTGCTTTGTTCCTAACGGGCTATGGAGGCTATGACAAAGTGAAGCTCCAGATGAAAAAGGGAAAGCCAAGCCTGAAGAGCGCAGAGGTGCTGGTGCGGGTCAAGGCGTGTGGTCTGAACTTCGCCGAGTTGTTGGGGAGACAGGGGTTGTATGAGCTGCTGCCGTCGCCGCCCGTCACGCCCGGGATGGAATGCTCGGGCGTGATTGAAGCCTTAGGGGAAGAGGTGACGGATAGAAAAGTGAGTCTAAAAACATAACATCTTGTTTCTTTCAAGCCTTTTCTTTCTTTCTTTGTGGCAGCCTGTTGTTCATAATTTCTATTCAAATTAAATTCATGGGCGAGGCCCGCCCAATCAATAAATCAAGCGTAGCCCTTTTTGTCCATGCACACAACCGTTATATAGGCTATAATATTTTATTGAGGAGTCGTGCACCATATAATGGTTACCAGTACAGTATGACAGCACTGGTTCGGCGCTCCTTTATATGATTTATCTCTTTAATATATTTCTTTCTGCCTTCATATCATTTTGTTAGTTATTCATGCAGTCACAAGGTTGAAACAATATTGTGTCTCTGTATGACAGAGTTATTACAAGATAATAAACATTTTAGTTGTTTTCATCCTTGGCCACATTATTGTCTTGAGTTTAGTAGCAAATATTGGGCTACTGTAATAGCAGTGAGCATATTCTGTCTTCCCAATGAAAGTCACATATCCTGTGGTCAGGTGGTGTGCCTTCCTGCTCCATATCTTGATTTGTTATAACACCTCCAAGAACCTGTTGAGATGTCATTATTAGAGGTTGGGGTTAAGAACTTTGGTTCTCCCCTGTCTCAATTTGTGCCCTCTATGATACTTTCTGACCGTGAATATACGAAGTGAGGTGAGATGTGAAATGAGTGATGACACTGACACTGCCTTGCTGTGCATAGAGCATTCCCCCAAGGGCTATCAACTCATGTGGGTGTAACGCTGCAATGACATGATCCAGTCTATTTGATAAAGGGCTCTGATATAATATGTTGATAGCAGCAATATTTCCTTTGGTGTGTGTGTGTGTGTGTGTGCGTGTGCGTTTTGGCCCATGTTTTGTGCAGTTGTTTGCCGATGTGCAAGGTGAGCCTGTGTGAGTCTGTCTGTCTGTCTGTCTGTCTGTCTGTCTGTCTGTCTGTCTGTCTGTCTGTCTGTCTGTCTGTCTGTCTGTCAGACCTTCCCCAAACAAATGGCTAGAAGAATCCTATAGAAGGACAGCACATTCTTTCTGCACAACTGGCCACAAGACACCTAACCACCACCAACAACAACAACAGCCTAGAGTCAGAATGCTGCCTGATCTGCAGACAATAAAAATACAGAACCCAGCTGCTGCCTATAGAGTCTGTTTTGGGAGTAGCCTAGGCTTGGACCTGTTCCTGTTTCTGATTATGCTGAGCTCAGTTTGTGTCTTTTGGCCAACATGGTCTCATCAAACTCACTGTTTTATCCACGTTTGTCCAAACTGCCGCTTTGGCCAAATCAGTGAAGCTATCCAGAGGTGGACTGAGGGCGGGGCTGTTTCGGATGAGGTCACATGGGATATTTTCTGGGCTGAAACAGACACCAGATTTGGGTCGTATTCATTAGGGCAAGCATTGCAACATTTTAAAGCTTTTTGCAATGAAAAAACTGAAATTAGCATTTCTTACTGGACAAATTCAATTAGTCCCTCTCTGTTTCAGTCCATTTTCGTCCGTTTGGTACAAATGAATACAACCCTGTTTTAATATCTTCAGCCTTGGTGAATCCTCTTCTCCCATCCTAAAAAGACAGTAATGGTGTGATCAGATTGGTCAGTGATCACATGATGTCAACCGTTAACATATTCACTTATTGAGCATAAAGCCCCACCCACATTTCCACCTTTTCCTCAGTGCCGTTTGTTTTTTCCGTGTCCCTTGTTTTTCTCTTTTAGTCATTCTTTCCTGGTATGTGTTATTGACTGGTTCTGTTAAATACTCAACCACCACTTCCACAGAATGTTCCTGAACAATGGCCTATTTTCAAATAGAAGTTTCATAGAGGTTCTCTTAGGTCTCAATTGGTCATGCACCCTTTGTGCAGACTTTGAGATCAGTGACCACATGAAATGCAGTGTGGGCAATGTGATCTGTGAGTCATGAGTACTTTATTGTCATGTGTTTGTGAGCAGCAGGAAGAGAAGCAACCCGTACATCTTGAGGAAATACAAACAGGAAATGTTTTAGTATTCAGAGACCGATTGGACCACTTTCCTGCGTCTTCCGCCTCTAGGCCTCTTTCGAAACACAAATGAAAAGTCTATGGCTTGCCTGGTCCCAGATCTGTTAGACAATGACCATAGGAGTTGGGCAAGACCGCAACAATTGATCTGGCCCCAGGCAAGTAAGTCAGCAGTGCTCTCCTGACATGGGAGATTCAGCAGTTGCAGGAGTGCATCTCAATAAAGACCTCTCCTCCTCTCCTTCATAATATACACAAGGACCATAGAAATAAACTTCCCAGTTGGCAACCACCACAATATTACTTTCATCAGAAAACTTTGCCACTCAACAAATAGTTGTTAGGATTTTCACTGTGTTTAAGTGTGTTTTGACTTGTGACCCATGTGAAATGTACTTTAAATAAATCCTGATTCTATTTTATTTAACACAATCTCCATCTCTCTCCCCCCTCCCTCGCTCAGGTGGGTGACCGTGTGTTGGTGTTGAGTCGTCACGGTCTGTGGCAGGAGGTGGTGGGTGTGCCCGCTAGCCACACTTTCATCATGCCTGAGTCAATGAGCTTCGAGGAGGCGGCGGCCCTCCCCGTCAACTACCTGACGGCCTACATTATGCTTTTTGAGATGGCCAACATCAGGGCCGGACAGAGCATCCTCATCCACATGGCAGCAGGTACAGTAGTGGTGGACACACACACAAGAGTGCAAACACACACACACATACACACTCACACAAGTACACATACATTGTTACAAGCATACACACACGCTCACATATGTTTACTTACCGGAATGTGACTGATTAAACATTGAGTAGCACACACATGTCACATACAAACACATACTAGAAACATTTACCCCTTTCCCCACCACTCACACACAAACACACTCCACAGCCCCAGAGGGTCCCCTCGCAACCACGGTAGTACTGTATAACACAGGCCTATTCAGTGGTGCAGATGAATGGCCTTAGAATGGGAGACTGCCCAGTATATAGCGTAGGTGGATATACAAGTCTGTAGTGACTCCCCTGTCCTTTTGCCCTGAAACAATATGCCTCCATTTCCATGGCAACGCCACCTCTTACCTCTTAGGATAACACCGTACAAACATGCAGTACCTTAGCCAACTGACAACATAGATCGTTATCATCCTGTTTCTTTGCTAACACTCGACATTTCACATTTTTTGTGAGCTTCATGGCCTTGAAAAAACAAAATAAAGAAGGATAAGATAACTTGGGTTTGGTTTATACTGTACTGCAGCGTTTCCTAAACTAGGGGTCACGGCCCCATGTTGGGTCACCTGATTTGAAAATGACGATGCGAGATAAAAAAAAAAATAGAAATGCTTGGTTCATAGAACCGCGGTTATGTGAGTAACCTTCGCGCTCCGCTATTAGTGGTTGGAACAAACAGAACGGTTTCTGTTTTCTTCCTACAAATTGGGCTCTACCTTTTTGAACAGACACAAATTAGGGGCTCTATTTTAACAAACTTAACACAATGGTAAATCTTAGTGCTGGCAGTAGCGCTATAGGTCCAGGGGTGTGTGAGAAATATTTTTATGGGCGCAGTAGCTGGCAACGGTGGTGCGAAAGGGCACGCCTCAACCAACGTGGAATAGACATTGAATTACTGTCTGTGCCCAGTGGGTTGTGTTTTGAGTATCCACTATCAAATAAAATAAAATAAAACTGTATTTGTCACATGCGCCGAATACAACAAGTGTAGACCTTACAGGGAAATGCTTACTTACAAGCCCTTAAATGTAATACAATAAAATAACAATAACGAGGCTATATAAGGGGGTACCGGTACCGAGTCAATGTGCGGGGGTACAGGTTAGTCGAGGTAATTGAAGTAATATGTAAATGTACTGTAGGTAGGGGTAAAGTGACTATGCATAGATAATAAACAGCGAGTAGCAGCAGCGTAAAAAAAGGGGGGGTCAATGCAAATAGTCCAGGTGGTCATTTGATTAACTGTTCAGCAGTCTTATGGCTTGGGGTTAGAAACTGTTAAGGACCCTTTTGGACCTAGACTTGGCGCTCCGGTACCGCTTGCCGTGCGGTAGCAGAGAGAACAGTCTATGACTAAGGTGGCTGGAGTCTTTGAACATTTTTAGGGCCTTCCTCTGACACGGCCTGGTATAGAGGTCCTGGATGGCAGGAAGCTTGGCCCCAGTGATGTACTGGGCCGTACGCACTACCCTCTGTAGCGCCTTGCGGTCGGATGCCGAGGGGGAATAGGCATTGGCTTGGTGTGTTTGGACCATGATAGTTAATTGGTGATGTGGACACCAAGGAATTTGAAGCTCTCGACCTGCTCCACTACAGCCCTGTCGATGAGAATGAGGGCGTGCTCAGCCCTCCTTTTCCTGTAGTCCACAATCATCTCCTTTATCTTGGTCACATTGAGGGAGAGGTTGTTGTCCTGGCACTACACTGCCAGGTCTCTGACCTCCTCCCTATAGGCTGTCTCATCGTTGTCGGTGATCAGGCCTACCACCGTTGTGTCGTCGGCAAACTTGGCCATGCAGTTGTGGGTGAACAGGGAGTACAGGAGGGGACTAAGCACGCACCCCTGAGGGCCCCCCGTGTTGAAGATCAGTGTGGCAGATCTGTTGTTGCCTACCCTTACCACTATGAAGGGGAGAGTGTGTCAGATAAGCAGAATTTCAAGGTTTGCTAAAAGCTTTTAGAGCTTAAGCCTGCCTGTGACACAGCAGTATGTCTAAAATACTGCAAGTGAGGCTTTTTGTTGTACGTGGCACCAAATAGTATTTGAAGTCTTTCTACTTTATTTGAGCTTGATTCAGCTTGCCTAGCTAAATGGAACCAATGGAAAGCTAAATATGTGTATGCGACCAATAAAATCTGATTTTGATCTTGATTTGAAGTCCCAAAAGTGCCAAACCCGCAGGCTCAAACAAACTCTCAATGTCTCCATCACTTCTCTCCTCCATAAAATGTCACTTCTATTATATTTCCATCGCATCTCTCCTCCATTAAATTTCACTTCTATCATATTACCATCACGTCTCTTTTCTCCGTCATCCCGTCTCCACTCCATAATATTTCTCCTCCATCACAAATCACCTTCATCAGGATTCACCTCTGTCACGATTCTCCTGCATCCATGTTTCCTATAGTATCTCTCATGCTATGCGTCCCTCGTGTCTCTCTCTGTGTCTTGTCCCCTTATGTCCCTCTACTGTAGGTGGTGTGGGCATCGCTGCCACCCAGCTCTGCCAGACGTTGGAGGACGTGACCGTGTTTGGCACTGCGTCGGCCAGCAAGCACGAGACCATCGGCCAGGGGGGGGTCACCCACCCCATCGACTACCGTACACGAGATTACGCAGAGGAGATCCGTAAAATCAGCCCCAAGGGTAAGGATGGATTGGACACGTAGCCTGGTCCAATATCTGTTTGTGCTGTCTTGCCAACTCCTATGGTTATTGGTGTGACAATCACCATAGGAGTTGGCAAGACAGCCCAAATAGATCTGGGACCAGGCTAAACGGCGGTATCATCAGCATCACTGATAGTCATCTCCTCTTTGAAGTATTACACTATATATACAAAAGTATGTGGACACCCCTTCAAATTAGTAGATTTGGCCATTTCAGCCACACCCGTTGCTGACAGGTGTATAAAATCGAGCACACAGCCATGCAATTTCCATAGACAAACATTGGCAGAGAAATGTCCTTACTGAAGAGCTCAGTGACTTTCAACGTGGCACCGTCATAGGACACCAGCTTTCCAACCATTCAGTCAAATGTCTGCCATGCTAGAGCTGCCCCAGTCAGCTGTAATGCTGTTATTGTGAAGTGGAAATGTCAAGGAGCAACAACGGCTCAGCCATGAAGTGGTAGGCCATACAAGTTCACAGAACGGGACTGCCAAGTGCTGAAGCGCATAGCGTGCAAAAATCAACACTCACTATCGAGTTCCAAACTACCTCTGGAAACAACGTCAGCACAAGAACTGTTCGTCGGGAGCTTCATGAAATGGGTTTCCATGGCCGAGCAGCCGAACACAAGCCTAAGATCACCATGCGCAATGCTAAGCGTCGGCTGGAGTTGTGTAAAACTCGCCGCCATTGGACTCTGGAGCAGTGGAAATGCATTCTCTGGAGTGATGAATCACGCTTCACCATCTGGCAGTCCGACTGACAAATCTGGGTTTGGCGGATGCCAGGAGAACGCTACCTGCCCGAATGCATACTAACTTTAAAGTTTGGTGGAGGAGGAATAATGTTCTGGGGCTGATTTTCATGGTTCGGGCTAGGCCCCTTAGTTCCAGTGAAGGGAAATCTTAACACTTCCAACTTTGTGGCAAACGTTTGGGGAAGGGCCTTTCCTGTTTCAGCATGACATTGCCCCCATGCACAAAGCGAGGTCCATACAGAAATGGTTTGTCGAGATCGAGGTGGAAGAACTTGACTGGCCTGCGCAGAGCCCTGACCTCAACCCCATCGAACACCTTTGGATTGAATTGGAACGCCGACTGCAAGCCAGGCCTAATCGCCCAACATCAGTGCCCGACCTCACTAATGCTCTTGTGGCTGAATGGAAGCAAGTCCCCGCAGCAATGTTCCAACATCTAGTGGAAAGCCTTCCCAGAAGCGTGAAGGCTGTTATAGCAGCAAAGAGGGGACCAACTCCATATGAATGCCCATGATTTTGGAATGAGATGTTCGACGAGCAGGTGCCCACATACTTTTGGTCATGTAGTGTATCATTGCGTACGATGTAAACTGTATGTCAAGCCTCTGGATCAGTGCTAGTGATCCATTCGAGCAAATCAGTTTCCAATGGTCTCTTTCTCTCAGGATTGGACGTTGTCCTGGACCCTCTGGGAGGCTCAGACACCCATAAGGCCTTTAGTTTGCTGAAGCCCATGGGCACTCTCATAGTGTTTGGTAAGAGACTAAATTACTGTTGTTTGTATTAGTGTTTACATTACTCGCCTCCTGTCATCTCAACCGGCGCTCAGTGTTTACCCACCTTTTTCTGTACCATTACATCCCTTCCCTACCGGAAATAAAGATGAACACATTCCATTTGCAATTCTAACATGTTCCATGGCATGTGAAATGACTTGATAACCTGTTTCCAATACATTTCAAATGTATTTAGGGGGAATAAATGCACTCCAAACTAGCTTTTCAAGTGCTAAAATCCAATTTGTGTTACAGTAAAATGTGTTGTTGTGTAATTATTATATTTCTCTCCATGTGTCCCTTACTTAATGACTCCATTTCCCAGGTGCAGCCAACTGTGTGACGGGTCAGAAGAAGAACCTATTGGCGGTGGCCAAGACCTGGTACAACCAATTCACCATCAACACCCTGAGGCTGATGCATGCCAACAAGGCTGTGTGTGGCTTCCACCTGGGCTACCTGAGTGAGGAGGAGGAGCTAATCACCCAGACCATGACCACCCTGCTGGAACTCTACACCCAGGGCAAGATCAAGCCCCGCATTGACTCCACCTACCACTTTGAACAGGTGGGTGTCTGGGGCTCTGTGTGTGTGTATATACACAGGTGCAGTGAATATCTATGAGTAGCTCAATGGCTATACATGATATACAGTATATATATACACTACCGTTCAAAAGTTTGGGGTCACTTAGAAATGTCCTTGTTTTCGAAAGAAAAGCAATTTTTTTGTCCATTAAAATAACATCAAATTGATCAGAAATACAGTGTAGACATTGTTAATGTTGTAAATGGCTATTGTAGCTGGAAACTGCTGATTAGTAATGGAATATCTACATAGGCGTACAGAGGCCCATTATCAGCAACCATCAGTCCTGTGTTCCAATGGCACTTTGTGTTTGCTAATCCAAGTTGATCATTTTAAAAGGCTAATTGATCATTAGAAAACCCTTTTGCAATTATGTTAGCACAGCTGAAAACTGTTGTGCTGATTAAAGAAGCAATAAAACTGGCCTTCTTGAGACTAGTTGAGTATCTGGAGCATCAGCAATTGTGGGTTTGATTACAGGATCAAAATGGCCAGAAACAAATAAGTTTCTTCTTAAACTCGTCAGTCTATTCTTGTTCTGAGAAATGAAGGCTATTCCATGCGAGAAATTGCCAAGAAACTGAAGATTTCGTACAACGCTGTGTACTACTCCCTTCACAGAACAGCGCAAACTGGCTCTAACCAGAATAGAAAGAGGAGTGGGAGGCCCCGGTGCACAACTGAGCAAGAGGACAAATACATTAGAGTGTCTAGTTTGAGAAACTGACGCCTCACAGGTCCTCAACTGGCAGCTTCATTAAATAGTATCCGCAAAACACCAGTCTCAACGTCAACAGTGAAGAGGCGACTCCGGAATGCTGACCTAGGCAGAGTTGCAAAGAAAAAGCCATATCTCAGACTGGCCAATAAAAATAAAAGATTAAGATGGGCAAAAGAACACAGACACTGGACTTTTTCTTTGCAACTCTGCCTAGGTCAGCATCCCGGAGTCGCCTCTTCACTGTTGACACTGAGACTGGTATATATACAGTACCAGTCAAAAGTTTGGACACACCTACTCATTCAAGGGTTTTTCTTTATTTTTACTATTTTCTACATTGTAGAATAATAGTGAAGACATCAAAACTATGAAATAACACATATGGAATCATGTAGTAACCAAAAAAGTGTTAAACAAATCAAAATATGTCATAGATTTTAGATTCTTCAAAGTAGCCACCCTTTGCCTTGATGACAGCTTTGCACACGCTTGGCATTCTCTCAACCAGCTTCATGAGGAATGCTTTTCCAACAGTCTTGAAGGAGTTCCCACATATGCTGAGCACTTGTTGGCTGCTTTTCCTTCACTCTACGTTCCAACTCATCCCAAACCATCTCAATTGGGTTGAGGTTGGGTGATTGTGGAGGCCAGGTCTATAACATATTTTGATTTTTTTAACACTTTTTTTGGTTAATACATGATTCCATATGTGTTATTTCATAGTTTTGATGTCTTCACTATTATTCTACAATGTAGAAAATAGTAAAAATAAAGAAAAACCCTTGAATGAGTAGGCGTGTCCAAACTTTTGACTGGTACTGTATATATGTACAGTGCCTTGCAAATGTTTTCATCCCCCTTGGCGTTTTTTCCTATTTTGTTGCATTACAACCTGTAATTTAAATGGATTATTATTTGGATTTCATGTAATGGACATACACAAAATAGTCCAAATTGGTGAAATGAAATGAAAAAAATAACGGAAAAGTGGTGTGTGCATATGTGTTCACCCCCTTTGCTATGAAGCCCCTAAATATGATCTGGTGCAACAAAATACCTTCAGAAGTCACATAATTAGTTAAATAAAGTCCACCTGTGTGCAATCTAAGTGTCACATGATCGTCACATGATCTCAGTATATATACACCTGTTCTGAAAGGCCCCAGAGTCTGCAACACCACTAAGCAAGGGGCACCACCAAGCAAGCGGCACCATAAAGACCAAGGAGCTCACCAAACAGGTCAGGGACAAAGTTGTGGAGAAGTACAGATCAGGGTTGGGTTATAAAAAAATATGATGGTGCATCCCACGGAGCACCATTAAATCCATTATTAAAAAATGGAAAGAATATGGCACCACAACAAACCTGCCAAGAGAGGGCCGCCCACCAAAACTCACGGACCAGGCAAGGAGGGCATTAATCAGAGAGGCAACAAAGAGACCAAAGATAACCCTGAAGGAGCTGCAAAGCTCCACAGCGGAGATTGGAGTATCTGTCCATTAGACCACTTTAAGCCGTACACTCCACAGAGCTGGGCTTTACGGAAGAGTGGCCAGAAAAAAGACATTGCTTAAAGAAAAATATAAGCAAACACGTTTTGGTGTTCTCCAAAAGGCATGTGGGAGACTCCCCAAACACATGGAAGAGTACTCTGGTCTGATGAGACTAAAATTGAGCTTTTTGGGCATCAAGGAAAATGTCTGGCGCAAACCCAACACCTCTCAACACCTCTCATCACCCCGAGAACACCATCCCCACAGTGGAATGGCCTAGTGAAAGCCCAGACCTCAATCCAATTGAGAATCTGTGGTATGACTTAAAGATTGCTGTACACCAGCGGAACCCATCCAACTTGAAGGAGCTGGAGCAGTTGTGCCTTGAAGAATGGGCAAAAATCCCAGTGGCTAGATGTGCCAAGCTTATAGAGACATACCCCAAGAGACTTGCAGCTGTAATTGCTGCAAAAGGTGTCTCTACAGAGTATTGCCTTTGGGGGGGGTAAATAGTTTTCTGTGTTTTTGTCTTATTTCGTGTTTGCTTCACAATAAAAAATATTTTGCATCTTCAAAGTGGTAGGCATGTTGTGTAAATCAAATGATACAAATGATAGGTTGTAAGCCAACAAAATAGGAAAAATGCCAAGTGGGGTGTATACTTTTACAAGCATTTAGGATATATTATATCGAAAAAGAGGACATCTTAAGGTTTCTAGTGAACCTAAGGTTACGAATGAACTGTCAAAATTGATTTCAGTCATGGCCTGGGGTGTTCTAGCGGTTAGGTGCCGCTGTCAGTATGGGTTCAATTCTGGCCCACACCCTTCTAGCTCAAATAACTCAATCCCGGATTGACTTGATTTAGTTACACATTTCAAATATAGAAAGTCCAGGGATATTTTACCCCCGATCTTGAAAAGAAATGACCATACCAAATACTTATATTTTAAAGACAGTTGTATTTAACGGATAACATAAATAGGAAACAAATTAAAAAATAACAGTAGGTTACACCAACATCCATTCATACAAAGTGTTGGGGAAATTGCTACAGTAGAGGAAATTGCTACAGTTGGGGAAATTGCTACTTTTTTTCTAACAATACGGAATGCTTGTCAATCGATAAATCAAGTTGTTCCGATGATAATCCCAACCAGAGGGCGAACATATCTTGAAATACTTTAGTTTCAAGCAGGACTAAGGTAACGCTGACATAATCTTTTAGGGAGCGGTAATGAGGTGACCAATAATGGTTGCAATTGAGATCAGCTGTGCGGATGACTTTAGCGCGTATTGATGGTTTAACGAGGCATCAGCTGGCGATAATCTAGTGTCATCGATTGTTGCAATAAATCCCTTGTTATTTGATTATGTTCCAATACATTCTGTAGGCTACCCGTTAGCCTATCCATTTTCACATAATGAATGGTGTGAAAACCGATAATAGGCTACTGCTTGTGTTTCCCTGGCTGAGTTGATTTGGGCCATCAGTTGATTGACAGATTTTTACATTTTTAGTCATTTAGCAGACGTTCTTATCCAGAGTGATTTACAGTTAGTGAGTGCATACATTTTTTTCATACTGGCCCCCCGTGGGAATCGAACCCACAACCCTAGCATTGCAAGCGCCATGCTCTACCAACTGAGCTACAGTAGGCATACTGTAAAACGATAAACTTTCCTCCAGTGGGGATGCTCGCCCACGTTTTATAGTTAGGCTATGTATAATTTGTCAATATAGTTATGGCCTTTGGTGTAGATGGCCCTTACAGTAGGTGAGATTTCCATTGCTAAGCTGTTATGGCAGTAACTGCTGGACCACACAGGCACTGAGGCCAACCAATAATGTATTCTGCCTATTGCTTGCCTTGAACATATAATATAACAATTCATAAAATTACAGATTTTTCCTAACGAAAGATACATCTAACCCCTACAAATGTGTTCATTTATTATAATCCACATAAGAATTAACCTGCTGTAGCCTGCATGTAGCCTACATAGTCTACTTGAACTGGCGCCCAGTGGACCTGCAGTCTAAGGTACAGTGTAGGTAAGGTACTGCATTGTATACAAACACTGCTTCCAGCTGCCCCCTGGTGGTGATTCTAAATATTTCTGTATTGCTTTCATATAATCCCTCCAGAGGCTAGCACTCCTCCTTCCACTGCCTTGAAAGGCTATGTTTACACCTAGCTCTCCTGCGTCTTTAGTAATGTCTGATATTATGTCTGCTCAACAGTGTTGAACATCAACAGACTGTGTGGGAGGCAGAGAGGGTATGGGAGAGGGGGGAGGGAGGAAGAGAAGGGGGTCTTTTCAAATCCCAATTCTGTTTACAAAGAGGTGTTACAACAATTTCATTATAGACCGACTGATTTGTTTACTTAGTTTCTGCCACCCCAGTTGTTTCCATGGTGACGGTTGAGAGCCTTTCCAGAGAGGATGGAAAACCTTGATCCAGTCTCTTTGGTCTTTCACCTCTCTCCCCCGCTCCGATCCACTTCACCCCCTTCTGATTGGTCAGAAGGCTTGGGGCTTGGGGTCAAAGGTTAGATTGATTAGAGAGTGCCTTGGTGTGACAGGAAATATGACTGGTGTATAGCTAGACCTCTTGTTGCTATGCGACTGCCTGGAAGCCGGTATCATATCCGACTCCTTTTGAAAGGAGTGAATGAATGGAATTAATAGTCATAGGATTGGTAGAATTAATGTAATATTTAATCTAACCTTCCTATGAAACTTTGTGTCTATTGCAACTGGCATGTAGCCTATTTCCGTCAGACTAACAGACTCACCACTTGTAGTAGGTGTGATGCTACATACTGTTGTTACAACTAATCCAGTACAAGCTAGGCTCATTTTCTGTGTGACATTTTCATGACATTTCCAATAGTTGCATATTAATAATAATAATGAAATCAATCATTGACATTAATTGAAACTGTTTTGACAGCAGTCTCCCCACAGATATTAGCTCTTTGCCATCCTCCCTAGACTCCCGCCTTCCTCCCTCCCTCCCTCCCCTTCCTGTGTACACTGTCTGACGTGTCAGACTTACTGCAATTCTCAGCCCCCCTCGGCTGATATGGGTCTGATGACGGCAGTTGCTAGGTGACCGGCCGTGGTTGCCGTGGCGTCGGTTGTTAGGGGAAGCTTTGTTTGAGTTGCCGTGGGGTGGGGTGGGGTGGGTGATGAGCAGAGAGGGCAGGGGCAGTGGAGTCAGAGAGGCACTTGTGTGTGTGCAGGCCCAATTAAATAGGGACAAACCCTTTCACTATTCATATGACGGACAGAGAAGATGTCATTATCTGAGCTTGGTAAAAGGAGAGGGTTTGACGCAGATTTCCAATGTGTTTATTACAAATGGGAAATAAACTGGATCCTGAACATCCAACTTTTGCACAGGAGCTAAACAAAAAGAAGAGCATCTCTCTCTCTCTCTATCCCTCTCCCCCTCTCTCTCGCTCCCTCTTTCAGTTGGTTGGTCTGTCGATCTGTATTTCAACCTGTCTGTCTGTCTGCCTGCCATCTCTCCTCTCTCTGTCCCTCCATCAGGTGGGTGACGCGATGAGGCGGATGCACGAGCGCAACAACATCGGCAAGGTGATCCTGCTCCCAGAGCCAAAGAAAGAGGACAAGAAAGAGGAGGAAAAGGCTGAGTCCAACCCTGAGCCAGCAGAGACAGAGGACAAGAAAGAGGAGGAAAAGGCTGAGAATAAGATGGAGACTAGCACAGAAGAGGTCAAGGGAGAGGAGAATTAAGAAAGAGAGAATATGTATGTGAGCAGTAGACTTGAGCACTTCAACATTGGCCTTCTTCTCTACTCCTCAGTCCATGTCTCAGAAATAGACCATTGCCTCAGTGTTTATATCTGTTTATATGTGTGAGGTGAAGTTGCCCCTAAGTGCTGATCTAAGATCTTTTTTTTTAACCTCCTTTTGGTTAAAAGGTAGATTCTGCGAAACACAAAATAAACAGCCGTATCAGGCCAACTTCAGCAACAACAACGAGCACAAGGCGAGGCTGATTTCTCCGCAATTGTTGTCAAACAGCTATTCTGTTGTAGGAGACTGAAGCATAAACCGTGCACATGCACATATGCTTTGTGTGAGTGCGTCGTCTTGCATCGCGCTCATCTGCAATATCGTTTGGCTTACCCTACTGCATGTGCCAACGTCATATCGCTAAGTCTCAGTTTAATAAGCTGAACTTAGAACTGTGCTTAGGGGCAAATGTGCATGGTGGCCTTGTTCTACTGACACTAGTGACTTAATCATGTTGTTTGTAAAATAGCTTCTCAGACAAGTTGCTATGTTTATGGTAATGTTTCAAGGCCTTATGTTTCAATGGAAAAAGTGCCCCATTAGCAACACTTGATGAGTCACCAATGTCATCCCCTTATTGTAATTTGTCTCCCTACAAGTTGAATTGCATGCTCTTCTTGATTCAGCAGGCAGATACAGTATTGTTATATGAATTGGAGGTCCAGCTTTTGAAATAAAATGTGTTAGTATTTTGCATTAGTGAATTATGGAAAGTGTGTGTGTATGCGTGTGCATGCGTGCGCACACGTGTGAATGTGAGTGTTTCTGAGTGAAATATGGTTTGATGTTGTTTGAATTGTGATTTGCCAAAATTCTCTTTCAATGTCTTAATGTCATGTTTCAATATGTTAGTTGTCACTGATTTGGTGGCCATTTTGAGAGTACTATGAGATCAGTATTTAAGTGTAGTTTGTTAGATGGATTGTTGTTTTTCCTGACCTAGTGTGCCAAATTAAACACCAACTTTCCCCGTTGCCCATATATCACAAACATTATGAAAAACAGGGCCTTCCTTTACCTTGTCAAACTGTTTGAATTGTTCTTGATTAAACAATGTTCCGGTGACCTTGTGGTAAAAAAAAAAACATTTGGCACAAGCTTTACTTGTCAACACTCTCTGCTTTCGTTTTGTGATTATCGTCGCACGGCTCTCAATATTGAACAGTGCCTCCTCTTCAGTATAAAAAGTATAATAGGAATATACTTATATACTTAATATACCTTTTATATTAAGTATACAAACAATCCCAGGTTGTAACTGTGTATTCTCAAGGATTGCACCAGCCTTCCTCCAGACCAGTCAAGTTGCTCTGACTTAAGAAACAGGAGAATATGGGAACACACTTGACTTTTGTATCAACTATAGTGCTTGCTCTCTTGACACTTCCTCGTTGGTGCCATGATGTTGTATTCATACGAATAGGCCTATATCATTTGCTATTATCTGTGGCCAAAATATCATATGACACATGCAAATAGAACACTTGATTTGTAGAATTTGTGGTAGGGAATGTAAATTGTTTTCGTATTTTCATGGTGAATTCTCACTGTGTTCCATTTCACATCATTGGCTTTCATGAATGACTCCAGTCTTGCAGAGCCCATAGTCTAGTGTTAACACACCCAGCTGCTTGCAGATGTATACCAAACCCGGAAACTGGGGTTCGATTCCCATGTCCGTTCTTCCTACTGTGTCTCCCCTTCTTCTATCTCCCCCTCTAATTCTGTTCTGACTAACTAAAGTTTACAAATACAAAATGAGGCTATAATTCCACTCTGCTTTCAAAACTCTAAATGGTTAATATCAGAGGAAGCAGATGTTTTTTCCAGCTGTGGCGGTAACCCAACGCCGCGACGCAGCTGAGAAAGGAAGCTACTCTTCTCCCCGTCCAAAACCACGCCACCACACACATTCCACTCCTACTCTCTCACTCCACTCTCTCTCTCCGGGGAGCATTCCCATGTCTTTAATTTCATGTTAAACAAGTAAAATCAAATGTAACTTTTATTTAGGAATGTGTGTATGATTTGTGTTTGTTTATTCATTAGCAATTTTCCCCCTCTGTCAGAAGTGTAAGTGGTAAGGTTGGGTTTGTGTAGTTTTCCTACTCTTTCCTGGCATTAGAATGACTGAGGTATGAGCTAAGCCATGGCTGGGAGCTTCTGAAAGGATTGGGACTGGGAATCTGAGTATCTGATTCCTTTTCCCCCCAGAGTCCTTAAGACCCTGCAGGTGTTTCCACCCATTCTGAAACCTGAATCATACTGAACGTTGATTTGCATTGTTCAGAGCCAGTGGTTTGTTGTGGTGATGGTTTTGTTGCTCAAAGCCCTATATTTGTTTGCCTAGTTTTACTTCATCCATAAGCACCTATGGACGTACCCAAGCTCTGAACATATGACACTAGTAACTTTACAAGTGGTTTGTTTATGTTATCATTCACTTCCTTGATGTATTTGAAGTCTTTGATTGAAATTCTCTGCAGTGCTTGAATCTGGGTTTAACCACTTTATATGACGCTGTCCACATGAACTGGTGCCGCTTTTCTGCAGTTTTGCCCTATGCCTTACCTGTATTGTACTGTACATGTTTTCTGAAATTAATAAATTGCATTCCAAAATGACAAACTGGTTTATCAAGGCTATGCCTATTTCTTTGAGCTTTCACGCCCTGAGCTGTCCTATATACAGTATGCTGCTTGGGATTCTGGAAAATCTCAAATGCAGTCCAATTGCTCCCCTTGTACTTTAGTAACAGTACTGCACACAGTCCTTGAATTATTCTGTACGAATGCAATATTGGAGCTGTGGAGAGCATGACCAAATAAATCAGTGTAAGCATTTTTTGGGGATCTTTTTGGGTTGCTCTGCTTGTGGTAGATTTGTCTGTACTTTTTTTCTGACCAGTAGACCGGTATAATCCAAGTGTCACCCAAACAACTCAGATTTTAAGGTGGCGCTCTACTTGGAAAAGACAACCAAATGACATCTGAACTGATATCTGTATTTTAATAATTTGATTCAACCAATATACAGTATGTGTTGAACATATGGGTCTTCACTTTATTACATGGGTATTATCATGAACATTTCCTGATTGTGACTATTTTTCATTGAATAATATGTATTGTGAACCGTACTTTTTTTTTGTATAACTTTAGTGTCTACTTTAATTATTACATTTTTAAAGCACTGTTCGGAAAGTTTTAGTTTTTCTCATGTCTTGATCCTTTGCAGTTTGTCAGCCCTCCTCGATACCCTGAGACTTCAGTGCCTCAGCTAAGCATTTGAGATATCTTGAGTCTGGGTATCCATTCCTGTAAGGATATAGAGAAAGAGGGGAGACTTATTTAGGACTACAATCTACTAAACCTATTTCAACTCAACTTTTAGGTTTACCAGGGTAAGAATCTCGGATTATAGCACTGTCACTACAGTATCACTGTTAAAATTGGTTTAATATTTCGATGTCATAGTTTTCAGACTGTACATTGGACAAAAACCTCACCTGGAAATCCCTCCATCGATGCTAGTCTTGTGTGGGATGCTACCCCAGGTCACCCAATCCAAAGTGTCCCCTACTCTCACATTGAAGGTTTGGCCTCGATGAAAGGCACGTTTCAGGGATGGCAGAAGCCTGAGAGTTGTTTCATTCAGAGGCAGGAAGGCATGGAATATGCCCCCTTGGAAAGGCCCCCCAGGGTTTGGATGGTCTTTCTGCACAGGGGTGGTATGTAGATCATGAGGAGGCAACAGACATCTATAGGTAAGACCTCATCGACAGACCCTAGACATAAAGACTTTGTAAGACTGTCATAAGGATTTCATAATGCCTGTCGATTGATGATCTCAGTGTTGATCACATGTGGCTATATACCAGGTGGCTTCAAATCAAGAGCTATTGTAATATGAAACACTGGTGCAGTAATAAATATATGTGATATAAAAGTGAAGCCTAACCAAACTCACTGTCATTTCCAATCCCTTTAAACAATTCCCAATTCTCAAAGGTTAGACCTTACCCCTTGGATGCCATCAGGAATGTTGTAGGTTATTTTCAGTGTTGTATCCTTGGTGTACCCAACCAGACTGATGGACATCTCACTGCAGGTCATGGTCCCTCGGATGCCCACGACACTCTCCTTAGATTTGGGACAGTTTGGATGGATGTGCTTTTGGCACAAGGCCCCACCACAAGTAGTCATAGACACAAATTCCCCTGTGGTTCCACATACACAAGATGGACTGGCCTTCACCTCGGTGTGTTTCACATCTTGTTTCTCATTGGACCGGCTTTCCCCGTAATCTTTGGCAGTGGCGCTTTGTGGATCCACTTCATGAGATTTGGTACATTCCACGCAGAGGGTATGAACTTGCTCCAGGCATGATGGGCACATGGCTATTCCACAAGCCGTCCAAGATACAGATGCCCCTGCGGTTCCACATTTACAGGACAAACCGGCATTTCCTTCGATATGGTCCTTTTGGGTCTGCAGTCCCCTACTGCTAGGTATCTGGCTTTCCTCAGGCTTTGGCCCTGTCAACCTCTGACCACTGTGCTCTGGTAATGGTGTTGTACCATCATTTCCATAATTTCCTTCTCTAACTCTTACTGGCCCCTCTGCTTTATAGGGGGCACTGATTGTCCTGAAACTCTTTTCATCTACCGGACCAGCTGCTCCCAACCGAAGCTTCAAAACAGGCGCTTTCTTCACATCTGATTGGCTCACTCCCTCCAAGCTCCCTGAAGAAGCAATGTTGGTTGCAGAGGTGGTCTCCTGGTCTTGTTTGTCACTACTGGCAGAGCTCAGATGTTCTGCTGAAGTGTTTATGTCAGGGTTGGATGGAGAATCAGAAGATGGTTTCTTAAGATTAATGGGTCTCTCTTCCATGGTCTGTTCCCTCTCTGTCCCTAAGTGAAACATCTCTTTTAGAAATGACATCGCATCCATACAATCCAGTTTTGGACCAAATATTAAAATGCTCTTTGTCTTTGTCATTGGAATGATTTTCACTTTCTCCCATGTCTCTCTCACAGTGGTGCATAACACCTCAACTGTCTCATTCTTCGAGTCTGACACACCCAGCTGTGTTAGCAACAGCTCATGGGTGGAGAAGTCCTCGGCTACCTTGGCCATCAGCTCTTCCAGCACCTGCTGACACATCCTGACTTTGGCTGGATCTTTCCCTCTCAGATGGAGGACAACCTCGTTTAATGTTTTTTTCTCCTTCATCTGCAGATCGGAGGTTACTTCCTCTAGCAGTCTGTGGAAAACATCCTTTGTGTATAACCATTGAGTTAAGGCCACCACCAGCTCTACACTGAAGACTTGCCTAGTCTCTGGGCGATTGTCAAATTTAAGACTTGTAGTTTCGCCTCCTTTGGTCTTTCCAAACAGGTCTACAGCTGAGCTGCTGTCCTTTCCGACTTGTTTGGTCCTGACCTGCCCTGAGAAACTGTTGGACCGTCTCAGAGATTGTTTGACTGAGCCAGTTGGAACTGCCATATCCACAGACAGATCCATATGGTCCAATGAGTAGCCCTGGGATTCACTAAAGTTTGCTGCTTTGGTGGGTCTGGTTACATTGTTCTGTGCCAAGTTCAGAAGGGGTTTACCTGACAAGGAAGCAGTGGACGATGGTTCATACCTCTTGAAGAGGGTATCTTCCTGGAGATCCCTATGACCGGAACTTGAAATTTCTACCTTCTGATTCGTAATCCCTGAAATTGGTCCACTACCTAATTTCTGGTCATTAATTCTAATGTGTTTTGTGGACGAGAAACTATTTGTCTGATGATCCTCAGGAGCCTTTACGTCACTCAAACTGGACCAAATCTCATCATCTTTACGTTTCTCAGAACCCATAGTTCTCCCAAATGTGGCCGCCATTTTGAATTCTTTGCTCCCCACAGCCCTTCCTTTTCTAAGCTTGGTGTCAGGCAGAAAGGATAGAGACGCATCTCCTGAGGTGTGAAATAACTCTTGACCCTGCTCCTTTGCTGTCCCTTGCATTTCCAATAGGAACTGCTTGGCCTCCGACACGTCACTTCCACTGCCCACCAGATAGACATTGGACTTGTCTTCGTTGATCAGCAGCTTTGTGAACCTCTGTGTTAAGGCTTTACAAGCCTGCTGGAGCCCCAACCTGGGGAAGCTTTCCTTGGCCAACTGCTCCTTGCGAAGTTGGGCCTCTTTGTCTTGGTACAGCCAGCCCAGCTCCCCATGCGCAAGCCTTAGACGCTCCACCCCTCGTCCAGTGGCCCCAGCCTTAAGCTGCAGATAGAGGGTGGTGATATCCCTGGTGGTGACATCCAGTACCTCTACACCATGCCTGTTGAGTATGTTCTGGTGCTCAGCCGAGCAGTGCTTTCGGAGGTATCGGAAGATGTCTGAGTCTATGACCATTGAGAAGTCCTCCATTGAGGCTCCCTTCTCTAATGCAGCTGCATCCTCTATGTCATTGGTGTAAGATGTGTGCAATGCCCCCGCCTCCTCTCTATGATTGGTGTATGATGTGTACAATGCCTCCGCCCCCTTTCTATCATTGGTGTGACATTCTTGAAGAAGGGCATGATTCCTCTCAGTGGCTCTACTGGAACCTTCCCCTAGATCCAGTCCATTGGCCTGTCCTGAGGTCTCAGTGTCCTGCTGTCTTTCTGTCTGTCCTTGAGTAGAGTTGTATCTTTTGTCACCCTTGGTGGCCTCATCTTTAAGGGAATGGACATCTTCTGAGGTCTGTGATTCGAAAAGTCCCAGCAGACACTTGGTCAGGATTTTGACTTCTGAGTAGCGACCTTTGAAAGTGCAGAGGTCAGCCTGAACGTGAAAGGTGCATTTTATGTCGCAGAAGTTTTTGAGGATGTTAGATATTGATGTTTTCCCCCCAGACAATTTGCTGTAGTCCACTGTCACAGCTGTGTCCACAAAGAGCTGAAAGATTGAATTAAGAAGAGTGAGACTAGGATTAGACTAAAACGAGAGAGGAGATGGGCTGTTTAGATGATTTACATGCTTGCCTTACCTCATCTGGGTCCATTTCTTTGCTGTGCAAACTCACACTTAGCTCATATTGCTTGTCATTCACTGATAATATGTGCTTCTGATGTTCAACCACTCTCCGAGCAACTGCGTGTCATGTAGAATTGAAAAAAGACAAAAAATATTACGTTCGCATTAACTCCTCAAGGACACACTGTAGGCTACCTGAATATGCATTATAGGATGTGCTCTATAGGATGTGCCTTATCAAGATAATTGCATGTCACACCCATCAATCTGCTAAATCAGATAGGCCTAAATCAGATAGGTGTAGTATTCACACAAAACATCTTGCTCATTGATGTAATCTTCAGTACTTTGCTTCTTAAGGTTCTCTATGTTTTACTTATCATACTATCTACTTCCTTAATTTTTTCCCAAGCCCACCGATCGACCTCTAACCTTCACTGTCCTCAAAGGTAATGAAGGTACAGCCAGGCGTTGTCTTGGAGACTGTGACAGATAAAATGTCCCCTCCTCCATTCCTCTTCCGCAGGAAATGAATGTAGAGCTTGTCGATCAGTCTGTTTTGAATTATATCCTGAGGTAACCCACACACTCTGACCGTTCCACCCTCCTTCGCCATCCTTGTTCTTTATCTGTAACAATAGGGAAGCCCAAGGGCATCCACAGTCAACAATGTGTTGCCAAATGTTGAAATTAAAATCACTAATCGCAACCTAATCAATTCAACATTTTTGAAGTATACAAAAAGTTGAGTATACAGTTATAATAGCAGCTCAGAAGGCGTATATTATTTTCAGTATTGAAACACTCAGGTTTCAGTCATTTCAATATAATATTAACAATTATTCTGACACATACACTACCGTTCAAAAGTTTGGGGTCACTTAGAAATGTCCTTGTTTTCGAAAGAAAATCATTTTTTTGTCCATTAAAATAACATAACATTGATCAGAAATACATTGTATACATTGTTAATGTTCTATTCTTTCTATTCTGGTTAGAGCCATTTTGATCCTGTAATCGAACCCACAATTGCTGATGCTCCAGATACTCAACTAGTCTCAAGAAGGCCAGTTGTATTGCTTCTTTAATCAGCACAATAGTTTTCAGCTGTGCTAACATAATTGCAAAATGGTTTTCTAATGATCAATTAGCCTTTTAAAATGATAAACTTGGATTAGCAAACACAACGTGCCATTGGAACACAGGACTAATGGTTGCTGATATTGGGCCTCTGTACGCCTATGTAGATATTCCATTAAAAATCAGCCGTTTCCAGCTACAGTAGCCATTTACAACATTAACAATGTCTACACTGTATTTCTGATCAATTTTATGTTCTTTTAATGGACAAAAAAAATTGATTTTCTTTCGAAAACAAGGACATTTCTAAGTGACCCCAAACTTTTGAATGTAGTTTAAATGTAAATAACAAGACTACGTTAGGCAGGCCTGAATAATTGCATGTAAGCTTCCATACATACTGTGCACAAAGATTTCAACAAAGAATAAAGCAATTAGTCTGTGTAATTCACTCCATGTTTAATAAAAAAAAAGTTAACTGTGTTGATTTGCATTGCTGGTAATTCAAGTAATGATGTTGTGGCTCGCAAAATATAGGCCAACCCATTACCTGGATAAGAGCAACATATGATATACCCTAATGCACGTTCAGACCTACTAGGCCTACAACATTGCAAATATATTTGATATTTGAGCAATTTATTAAAATCTTTGGATATTACCTTTCTTTTGTGTGCGTTTCTCCTAGATTCAAATATGAAACGAGTTATGTTACCGTCAAAATGTAGACAGACGAACTGAGAGATTATTCTCGGTTCTCAAGAAATAGAAAGTGAAAGGACAGTGTCAACGAGTCAATGACGGGGTCCAAAACATAAAAACAGCAACTATTTTTTGTGAGAACAGAAAAGGTAACATTAGTGTTATCACGTTCCATTCGAAGTTGTTAGATCAATTTTGGGGGGAATATTTTTTATTTTTTGGAATACATTAAGTACAATTTCCTCGAAGGTAAAATAACTGACACGGTGTGCGCACACCTACCACAAGAGGTCGCCATTACATCACGGAAAGCTAATGATGGACTCAATTCTAATGATTTATATATACAAAAGATGACTAATAGGGGGCGCTGTGTTGAAGTCGCCGTTCCTCCATCTTGGCACTCCCACCCATTGCCAAAAATATTTTGGAAGCTATAGCAATGCATTTATAATGTCTGCATTCGTTTTTGTCACATTTATTCTATTACAGAAATCTTAATGTATATTTTTAAATTATATTATGTGAGCTAAACATAATTTTTTTCCCCTTAAAGTATACTTGTTTGAGATTACTAATGTTACTGTCCCACTAAAACAACAACAAATACTTAAATACATGTAATTTTCTCCTTGAAACATTTAATTGAAATACTGTAGAATTTCATTCATTCCTATGGAAGATTGCTCTTACTGGGGAGGGACAATACTGGAGAGGCTTCAAAGCCACTCGATGGCCAATACATACAGTAGCATCAGCATTCCAGGGTTTATCATTGCTCAAATCACTCCCAGTGTCTACAGTGATGCACAAAAACAGTCCGCAGGAAGCCAGAAGTTAAATACAAGTCCATTTAAACTTTCTGTGCAAGTGGGCAGGAAGCTTGGTCATGATGACGGGAGAAATGTAAGACAAAATATATAGATTCGATTAGATGTTTATTTAGTCACTTGCGCAGGGTCGCAGATGTAGTTGCAGTGTACAGTGACATTCTTAAGCTCTGAGCTCCAACAGTGCAATTGTGAATGAAACAATAAAACGTTTACAAATTAATAATAATAATAATAATAATATATACAGTACATATTCACAACTGTGACAATGATAAATATAAATGTCCATTGGGGTGTGGGCAGGGTAATTGTCCATTGAGGGGGGGGAGTAGTGGTGGCTATCTGCTAAATGACTAAAATATAAATGTATTCAGCATGATAAATGTCCATTGGGGTGGGGGCAGGGTAGATGTCTGTTGAGGGGAGGGAAAGTTTCCAAAGGGGGAGCAGCAGGGGGTACAGAGTCCGGGGGGCAGGAGGGGGAAAGGGGGAGTAGGTAGCTAGCTTACTAGTGGTGGTTATTCAGCAAACTGATGGTCTTGGGGGTAGAAGCTATTGGCCAGTCTGTTAGTTTTAGCCATGATGCTCCTGTACTGCCCACGTCTGAATGATGGAAGCGGGGAAAACAGGCTGTGGCTCGGGTGGCTGAGGTCCTTGATGATCTTCTTGGCCTTCCTGCGACACCTGGTGTTGTAGGTGTCCTGGAGGGCAGGCAGTGTACACCCAATGGTGCATTCGGCTAAGCGTACCCCCCTCTGTAGTTCTTTGCGGTCAGCGGCGGTGGAGTTGCCCTACCAGGATGTGATGCAGTCCGACAGTACGCTCTTGATGGTACTCCTGTAGAGCACTGTGAGGGCCCTTGGGGACAGGCCACATTTCTTCAGCCTCCTGAGGTTGGAGAGTCACTGTCGTGCCTTCTTCACCACGGTGTCCGTGTAGTTTGACCATTTCAGCTCCTCAGAGATGTGTTCGCAGAGGAACTTGACGTTTTGACGGTCTCCACGGAGGCCCTGTTGATAAGGATGGGGCACGCCCCAGTAGTAGGCCTGGTTCCTCCTGAAGTCCAATCAGCTCCTTTGTTTTATAATTTGCTGACATTGATGGAGAGGTTATTTACCTGGCACCACACCATCAGCGTTTCTTCCTCCTCCCTGTAGGCCATCTCGTCGTTGTTGGTAATCAGGCCTACTACTGTCGTGTCATTAGCTAACTTAATGTTGGAACTGTGTGAGGCCATGCAGTCGTGGATATACAGGGAGTACAGGAGGGGACTGAGGACGCACCCTTGGGGGGCCCCCGTGTTGTGGATCAGTGTGGAGGATGTAATGTTGCCGACCTTCGCCAATAGGTACTTAGCACAGTAGGAGACCGTTCCTTCTCTTGCTACAACAAAATACGTACCTGCTGTGTACAGACCTGGTACCAACGAATCTGACAATTCTACTTGTAGAATTGCAAAGCTCTGCAGTGGCCGACAACTTGACCTTGAGCCAATCAGAGAGCCTACGAACCTCCACGTGGGGGAGTCGACAGGAGTGACAAGAAAAAGGGAAAAAGAGGACATTTTTCTGTCTAATCCAACCCGTTTATCAGAATTGTTCTAAAACAATAAAGCTGCATAATACATCTATTTTTCTAGAGCAAGTCTTTACATCTTTTACATCTAGCTACGGAGTTTTGTGTTTGAAAAAATGTTGTTTTGTTAGGTTTGATAATGTGCACTAGCTTATAAATTAGCTAGCAAGCTAACTGAGAAAGGCAGTCACACACACTTTATATGAAACTAATGGGGTGGTAAGTGCAGCACAATGCATACAACACTAAATGCTTTACCAAGCTAGCTATCTGGCCACTGTAACTAGTAACATTATAATTCAATCACAATGGATTCGTTTCCATGAAGCAGCTGCCTGTAGTTGGCTGGCTCCCGAGTGGTGCAGTGGTCTAAGGCACTGCATCGCAGTGCTAGCTGTGCCACTAGAGATCCTGGTTCAAATCCAGGCTCTGTCGTAGCCGGCCGCGACCGGGAGACCCATGGGGCGGCGTGCAATTCGTCCAGGGTAGGGGAGGGAATGGCCGGCAGGGATGTAGCTCAGTTGATAGAGCATGGCGTTTGCAACGCCAGGGTTGTGGGTTCGATTCCCACAGGGGGCATATAAAAATAATAATGTATGCACTAACTGTAAGTCGCTCTGGATAAGAGCGTCTGCTAAATGACTAAAATGTAAATGTACCAAGAGTCAATGCGATGTCTTTATTTTGCCTAGCTAGCACAACAGCTAGCTAGCTAGCTACTGAATCATGCTAACTATTTAGCTAACGTTAGCCAGCTAGCTAAAAATTTATCTATGGGCTGGCTATATGTGATTATGGAGAGTGAATTCAATTGTTTCTTTGTCATTTTGCTGGCTAGTTATCTAGCTGTGGCCATCTGGCTAGTATCAACAAGGGCGTTCTTAAACAATAGCAACATTAGCCTAACATTGACTAGACCAGGGCTCTCCAACGATGTTCCTGGAGAGCTACCTTCCTGTAGGTTTTCACTCCAACCCTAATCTAGCGCATCTGATTCTAATAATTAGCTGGTTGATAAATTGTATCAGGTTAGTTACAACTGAGATTGGATTGAAAACCTACAGGAGGGTAGCGCTCCAGGAACAGGGTTGGAGAGCCCTGGACTAGACAATAAAGCAACACACACGGACATGCATTGCCAAACAACGCTACTGCCACCTTCTGGTTTGGAGTATTTTAATAAGAAGGTTGAGTGGCTGATGACTTCAAGGTCTTTGCTGTGTAAACACAAAAGTGATTGACTGCTGACACTGTTCAGAGGTGCTAAGTACTGTCAGCAGGCAAACGTTTGACAATCCTACTGGTGTGTCTGAATCTTAACAGTAACAGATGCCATTCTTACCGCTTATTAAGCTCAAGCGTAATGCCTGCATGTATTTTTAGAGAGGACATTTCACGTTATGTCCAAACAGAATAAGCTTCTATGTGTTTTAATGTTGCTTCTTAATTATACAGCACACACACCCCTCTATGTGATCAAGTGTTATATAAAGTGTTCTGTCCTTAAGCTGTCTAGTAGTCATCTTCTCATAACATTAGAGAAGTTGTCTTTGTTGGCCAAAAGGCATCCTGTTTTTTTGTTTGATCTTTAGATCTCAATTTATGAAATTGAAACAGCCTAAGAAGGTTAACTGAAACCCTTCCAACCTAAGAACTTGAATTCCATTGACGATTAATAGTGAATATCTGGTCAATATACTGTACCGTGGCCTACCATTGAACAACCTTGACCAGCACTCAGTGGAGTTGTTGGCAGAGCTTGCACAATGGGGCTTTGTTCCACCACGTCAATGGCTGAGAACAGAAGATACAGGAGATCTCTAAAACAGATTCCTGTAGCCCACATGGGGACTGTTACCATGATAATGTGTGCAGGTCACCAGTGTTGCACATACATGAATAAACATAGGCACGCTGTGTTCCAACTCTACACAAATGCAATGAACTACTATTTAATACTTTAAGAATTGTTTCTTTACCATATGTCAGTAGGCTATAGCAGTCTACTATGCTTTATTGACACATTTTCTCATATGGTATGTTTTTCTTCAGCAATATAATTAGGGCGTCAGAAAGCCTAGCGGTTAGAGTGTTGGGCCAGTAACCAAAAGGTCACCAAAAGGGGAAAAATCTGTCAATGTGCACTGGAGCAAGGCACTTAACCCTAATTTCTCCAGGGTTGCCTTTGATAATGGCAGACAATGGCCATGACCCCACTCTCCAAGGGTGTCTCATGAAGAGTTGGGATATGCAAAAAAAAAAAAAAAAAGTCCAGTTCCCACATGCACAGGACAAATATAAGCACCCACCAACTTATTTGTATTATTATTTGTATTATTAATAAATTATCTGTCATTATGTTATTAACCTGTTAGCCTGTGAAATAATGGTTATTGATGACTTGGGGGGGTGGTGTGTAATGAGATAATTTAGGTCTATTCTATTATATTATACAAAGAGCGTTATACCCTGTGTTATACCCTGTGTCAATACATGGCTAGCCTAATCTACTCACGTAAACCGTGTAGCCGCTTCCTATGTTGTCGCGTCATTGGGACGCAGTTGGACGTCATCGCGGCTGTCGCTCTCCCTGGTTTTGACGCCCATGGTGGGGGAGTTGGAATGCATTTGATTCATCTGCCCCCGCTACCCGGCGAGGCGAAGCAAACGTCCCGTCGCCGACACAAGGATGCGGTAGCCGGGCACCACCAACCACTCAGGACGAGGGGCACAGAGCTGACCATTTGAAAACACATGTTCACCGGTATAATTTTTTGATGTCATAATATCGTCTATCTATTCTCTCTGTTCTGCTTAATATTGTTTTTTTTATTTTGATTCCCTGGCGCTCAAACCCCAAAAATGCACGGTCAATGTACCCAAATCGGACAGTGGAGTGGGTTGCGCTACGGACCTTCAAGGGTAACCTTTAGTTGCATTAATAATAGCTGTTCGAATGTATATTTAGACAGCTTAGTCAGTGGATATGTACTATAAATAGGGGGACCAGTGTGGGAATGGAAATCAGCGTTAATCAGTCATCTGTTGAGGTGCGTTGGAACAGTTGCATTGGCATGTGTTAAATTAGATCTGTATTTGATTTTACACAGGCTGTATCAGCAAAGTGTCTTTGATCGGCCTAGGAAAAGCCCATAATCTAACACTGTTCTTCAATAATTGACAGGACGTTTTGTTTTTATTTTGGGATTGCAATGCGCAAATGTTGCGGCACTGTGCTGCTCTTTACCCTTTAATTATTGAATATGCAGTTGCACTTCTGCTTTGCTGATAGGGCGATTTGTTCACGTAAGAGTTCTATGTTGTAACGGTCTGGATTTAAGGCCTATAAAATCCAACCATATAGGCTAACAAAGCTGTTACTTTAAATCAACAAACAGCAGCAGCCAATATGCTATTTCAATGGGTTGCAACATTTACTAAGACTGTATCATTTATCATGATTATTTATTAGGTTACATAGGCCTAATTATTATTTAGTTATTACTATGATTGATTTTAGGAACGCTTGGGACACTAGGGAATATTGAACCAATTGACTGCTCTCTGTTGGTCCACTTATGGTCAAGATATGCAGTGTGATGTAACATCCTTGTGGCCCAGCCCTCTTTCCCCACTCCAGTTACAGCAAGGCTGCAACAGTAGTGCCTTGTCCCTGCTTGAAGCCTAGCTCTTATGTCAAAATGGCATCATTCCAAGGTCTAGGCTGTGGGCTGTATCCTATGGTGCTCCATGTTCATCTATTGAATCAATGTGGAGATGTTCAGCATTGGAATATTGCCAAGTGTAGGCCTAGTGTGTTGTTTATTGATAAAGTTGTGCAGATATTATTGTATTGCACTATAGCTTAATAATTCAAGTGATATATTTGTAAAAAATTGGGATGCAAAAAAAAATCACACTTGCCATAAAATGTATGTGAATTTGCTCCTTATTGTTTATCTCTTCGAAACATTCCGTTTTGTCTCATATGTTCTCAGACCCATTTTCTTATCTCAACTCCACATCTCTTCCTTTCCTCCTGTAGTCATTCTTAAATACCAAAGGCCAGTCCCGATGGACTTAGTCTGGGCTGGTTGTGATTTCTCCCCAATTTCCGCCGCCTTACGTTGGTGCAATTTAAAGCTCATTAAGCTTGCTCAATGGAAAGTCTCCATTGAAAGGTATTTTCAGACACAGATTTAATAACAGGTTTAATCCAGGTCTGTGCAACACATCTACCCATAACGTGGTACTTGTACTTTTTACTTGTGGAGTGTGGACAGGAGGTATACCAACATTGACATGATATGATGACAGAGGGTGATAAGACCATTTTTCACATTCAGGATTCAAGATGCCAGCCAAAAGCACACCACAGTGGTTCCCAAAATATACAGTACTGTTGGCCTATATACCAAGTACACAGGGGCAATATTTCTAGCTAGGACCCAGTCTTAAGCCACAACTCAAAAGGAAGCCACCAGTAGGTTTTGACCCCCATGGTAGACACTGGCTTGACTCACTTTGTTCAATTGTCTCTTTTGTCTCTCTTCCTCAGGTGTGGGCGAACCACCGTCCCACCGCTCCCCAAACATGGCTGCGTCATCCGTCCCTTCCACGGCCCCGGTCCCGTCCCCTCCCAAACGCTTCCTGGTTCTCTTCGACTTCGACGAGACTATCGTCAACGAGAGCAGCGACGATGCAGTGGTGCGCGCCGCCCCGGGCCAGCAGCTCCCCGATTGGCTGAGACACTCGTACCGCGAGGGCTACTACAACGAGCAAATGCAGCGCATCCTGGCCTACATGGCTGAGCAGGGCGTCACTGAGGACTCCATTCGCTCCAAGGTCGAGCAAATTCCCCCCACGCCCGGCCTTCTCACTCTCTTCCAGTACCTCCAGTCCCACAAGCAGGACTTTGAGTCGGTGGTGGTCTCCGACGCTAACATGTACTTCATTGAGGCGTGGCTGGAGAGGGCCGGGGCTCGCCACCTCTTCCACAGGATCTTCACCAACCCGGCCAGCTTTGATGCTCAGGGGCGCCTGGTTCTCCTGCCCTTCCACACCCACGGCTGCCAGCGCTGCCCTGATAACATGTGCAAGCAGGTGATCGTACGGGAGTACCTGGCACGGCGCCAGCAGGAGCGTGGCGGCTGCCCCTTCCAGAGGGTGTTCTACGTGGGCGACGGGGCCAACGACATTTGCCCCATGCTGGCCCTGGGGCCCCGCGACACGGCCTTCCCCAGGAGGCACTTTCCCATGCACCGGCTGCTGCAGGAGATGCAGGACGCTGGGACGGAGGGCCTTAAGGTCAGTGTGGTGCCCTGGGCCAGCGGGCAGGACGTGGTGGACTGCCTGAAGAGGCTGGAGGAGGAGAGATGAGATGGAGAGAGGACACTGCAGCTAGCCAGGTCCCAGATTGTGTGCTGTCAGTACAAACAGATCTGGGACCAGGTATAGCACACAGCAGCAGGGTAGGAATGAACTAATTAGGGCACCCCCAAAAGTTACAGTTAAATTGTTAACAGTATTAAAGTGTAGGAGGAAAATGACATTACACATGTCCAGTGTTTTTAAGCAGGTGCTAGAGATCCAAGAATATGTTTGTAAAAGAGTAAAGAAGACTCGACTTATTGAAAAATTATGCTCCCATGTGCTTCATTGACAACGTTTTGACCTGAGGTAGACCTAAGGGTCGAAACATTGTCAATAAAGCACACGGAAGCGTTGATGATAAAGAAGGATAGAATAATTCAGTGTGATTGCGGTGTGCAGAGTCTTCTCTTTTGGTTAACAGTACTACTGTAAAGTATCATCTCTGTAAGCGTTAAGAATATTAATGTTGGTCCAGTCCACTACTTTGTAGGGCACCTCCAGGAGTCAAATGTGTCATTTGCACCCTGGGATACAAGGGTTCTAATCTTCACACTTGGTGCTTGACGGCTGCAGTATGTGTGGGCTTTTGTTCTACCCCAGTTCTAAAACATCCTGCAGGTATAGTGCTTTATAAGTTGTTATAAGCATGTATGAGCCTTTATAATGTCTTATAGTAAGGCTTAATCAATCTTGATGAGTAGATTATTCTTGAAATAAGATGTGTTGTTGGCTTGGGTAAAAAGCCTATCTGCACACTCTAGCTTTTCAAGATCAGGGTTGGTAACTATTGGGTTGAAGACAGTGGCCGTGTCCGAATGCCCATACTAGCGTACTAAATAGTATGCAAAAAATAAAGTGTTATTGTATGTGAAATTTCGGACATAGTACTCCGAATGCATCATCTAATGCGCGATTGCGTTGACTCCGGCCATTCGTTCATTTTGGTCCAGCGCATCAATTTATCTGATTATCAGCTGTTGTCAAACACGTGAGACGAAAAAAAGACGGTGAATTCTACTAGATCAAACGCCAAAATGAGTATGCAGTTTAAGTATGTAGTACGCAAGTATGGGTATTTAGACACAGCCAGTGTTCTTTACATGGTCCTGGAGTGTGTGTGTTTTTTGGCCCCGGCCCAGCCTTAACACACCTCATTCAGCTAATAAAGGAAGTGATGACTAGTTGACAACAAGTTGACTAGTAGAATCATGTGTTCTAGCACTGTCTGGTACCAAAGCCCACACACACCGTGGCTCTCCAGAACAAGGCTTGGGATAGAATGACACAGAGATAGACACACCACTGACGCTCTGGCACATACTCACTGACACCTAATATACAGGCTGATTATACTAGGGCAATGTACACCGACTTGAGATGCAAAGTGAAGCCTGTACACCTGCACTGCACCTCTTTGCACAGTACACCCTCACATTGTGAGAAACCTATGAAACACTTGAGACAGGAGACATTGGAATCTGTGTGTGGTCCCATGTCTATCATTCTATTGACCTTGGAGTGTCTCAATCTCCCCACCGCTCTAACTTTCATGGTCTCCTCAGACATTCGAACCGAATGGCCTTTCTTGAACACCCCCATCTCCAGTGTTAACTCTTTCATTGAGCTCTGAGACTTGACAGGGGAGACTATTAACTAATTGAGTCAACAACCCTCTATAGCTGGGCTGCTATCCACCCAAAAAAATGCAGAAACTAATGTCCTCCAGAAATGGTTATTGGAGACTTGCAAAGATCAGGTTTCCAATTACAGGGAATGCCTGGAGATGGTGGTGGGTTCTATCATAAGAAACCAAGGCATTCCCATAAGCATTAAAATATTAACATCTCCTCCAGTGTTAGAAATACTACCTTGGTCCAGCACACTATTTCAGTGCAACCTGACATACTGAGTCTATCTGTATGTCTATGTAATTTGAACCCTATACAAGACAAGTGTGTGCTCAAAGTCATACATCACTGTAAACAAAAGGCCATGGGTTTTAGTGTTAGTAACCTTGACCCTGATGTAACAAACAAACAAAAATCCAAAAGGCTTCCTTGAAAATGAACAAACCTGCATGTTGATGTGTTAATGTCATCAAAGAAAGTACCTTTGATGAGATAACAAATGATGAATCAGTGTTACAGCACTTGGTGGTTAAATTTGACTCCGTTGTAACAATGTAATCTCTCATCCAACCATAGGCCTACTCATAGGTCAAATACGTTCAAATACTGGTGCTGCGCTTGATTTGGTTTGTCCGGTACAATGGAAGAAATGGAATAGTCCCAAAAGTGTGAACTTCAAATCAAGGTGAATAAAGCGCACCTCAAATACTTTAAAGTATTGGTCATCCTCGAATATTTTAAGGTTTTTGAGCTACTGTATGTAATTGATCCAGCTCTGGTTGCCTAAAGCCTCCATGTTCGGGATGGTAGCAAAATAAGTTGGCCAGTAGAAACAGATGTGGCAACCAGGATAACTCATAGGCCTCAGTGATATTGGATGTCCACACTCAATAGATCCTGTCTATAGCTTGGTCTCTCAGGGAACGATGAACGATGTATAGAGCATTCTGTAATACAGTAGGAATAGCTGCTGATAGAAATAGTGTTTATTTGCATATATCATTTGCATATCAGCTACATTGCTGTGAGCCATGATCAGCACATGATCAGTAAATCACATTGGAGATCATTGATTTGCTCTGTCAGAACATTTTGAAATATTGGAGTATGATACTAAAACAGATTCAAGTATTTTAGTGATTTGGTGATAACCATAGTGGGACTTCACTGTAGCTATCAGTTGAATATGTGATACACTATGATTAGGATGGTGGTGGTGTTATAAAGCTGGGATCACTAGATAATACTTAATTGACCTGTAACTTGACCTGTAACTGCAATCCAGACATTAAGCTTTGCATAGAAGAATATCCTTGTTTGAGTTTTGTGCAATAACTGGTTTCATGTTCACAGTATAGGGTTAAGTGAAGAGAATGAGAGGAAGTGTAATACTGTGAAACTCTTATCCCCAATGTGTACCGCACCTACTGACTGTTTTCACTACATAATCTCACCTCAACTTTCACTGAAATGTGTTGCAAATGTTGGTACAGTGTTGTAGCCCCACAAAAACCAAAATGGCCAGTGTTTTAGGTGCTCCTCTATCCTAATATATTAATTTCTCTTGAAAATGATGTCTGTGTGTTTTTGTGCGTTCTGTTTTGACGGCTGTTGAAATGTCCTTCTTGTTTTGACCGGCATTACTCCTCCTGCAATACTGAACTGACTGATCCTCACTGTTCTACTTTAAGAGACTTTATGCTGTGTACTTCATGTTTTAGCCTGTTTGTCTTTAATCTAAAAATGAAAGAGATCATGTGTGTAATGTACCATTGTAATACTAACAGGAATATAAAGCCATCAACTAACTGAGCAGATTTTCCGGATTTACTTTCGTTTGTATTCAGTGCCTCAAGTCTTGAATAGGAAATCTAATGGAGAGTTTAATATATATTTGATTAATGTAGTTGAATTGTTGGCACAGCAATACCAATTCTAATTCCCATGCTTTGGAATGTGTCAACAATTAAAACAGTATTTTTTATTTGAAACAACATGCAAATTAAAACATGTCCCCCCCCCCCCCCCCCCCCCCCCCCCCCCTTAACTATCCACTATTTATCCAATAAAATATCCTTGTAAAAGATTGCAAACACATAACTTTTTCTAAGATATGGCCATCCGTGCTCTCAAAAAATGGTGCGCATGAACCCTCTGTTTCTTGCATGAGGAAGACAAAGTTTGATCCAATTGGCTCAAAAAGCATACGCATGCACATAGGTCTTATTTCCACAAGGTGGCGCCAGTCGAATATGTTTCTGCCAAGCGACTGAACGTAGGCTACAATACAGTACTAGAGGATAAACGCCAGTGTAAGGGAAATGGAATAGAATCGACAGTCAGAAGTCAATGGTGGCGTTCCAGTTCATCAAAAGATTGCTATATCATATGGATGTTGTTCCTAAGATGTCAAATTGTTCTCCAGGAATTGTAAAATCTGTTAATCTGCAAAACGTAACTGCATAAAATATACACACACTATTATATCGTAAATCTTTATTTTTTCCAAGCTTCATTGGTCTTTCCGAGGGTTAATCGTTTTTTGTACTCAAAAAGGTTGATGTGTTATTACACAGTTACTTCCAAGTTACCTGTAAAAGCGCGTTCTGTTCATCTCGTAACCCAGAACCAAATGTTTAACAGTCTGTCACGAGAGACTAGGGTTCGGTCAACAGTATTGCTGATCATATACTATAGCATTGGTTTTACTGAATATGACAGAAAAGGCCTGAAGCCTTTTGTAGTGATGTAGATGACATCTGGTGTTTGTGGTTGTCTGTGTCACGAAGTGAATTGAGATGCTGCTGAACTCAGCCAAGTAACCAGTTGACTCAGCACACACACACACACACACACACACACACACACACACACACACACACACACACACACACACACACACACACACACACACACACACACACACACACACACACACACACACACACACACACACACACGCGAGCACACACACACGTGCATTTATGCACACGCTAACGCACGCACGCACGCAAACACACACACTATAATAAGGACTTTTCCTTCCACTGCCTTTTAGACGGTCATATCTCTGTTTATGCATTCTTCCTCTCTCCCCCTCTCTCTTTTTTTGTCTCTCTCTCTCTCTCTCTCTCTCTCTCTCTCTCTCTCTCCCATTATCTGTATGAATTCTGCCACTCTGAGCCCTCCAAGCAAATCATTGTCATTGCTGTTGTCCAACTATAAATTTTTTGTTGTTAGCCCACAATAATGTCAGAGAGCTGACCAGCTACTGGAGTAGACAAGCTCCCCTCTCTCTCTATATATATACAGTGGGGAAGAAAAGTATTTAGTCAGCCACCAATTGTGCAAGTTCTCCCACTTAAAAAGATGAGAGAG